TCTTTGAGCCTACCAAGGTGAGGTCACTGCAGATCCACCTTAGGTCTGTCTGGTCACTGGATCCTGTGGATCTGAGGATGTTGGATCCATGGATCTGCTAACAGGGGAGTCCCGTGGATACTGGAAGTACCATGCCCCAGGAAAGTGGTTCAGACAAGCCAAGGTAGGGGGCAAGATCAACAATGAAAAAGCAATCCTACTTCTAGATAGTGGTGCCGAGGTGTCTATACTGGATACCTTGCAGCCTTGGCAAACACGCGTTGCAACGCCGACGCGCACTTTCGCACGATCGGAGTCATGTGGTCACGCAACGCTCTGGCCGTGAACAAGTTGACGAGTGCTTTGCGTTGGAATTTCCAGCGATGTCCATTGATAATGACAATGTTCTCCCCCATAAAGTCATCGAGCAGCTCTCGCACTTGAGGCCCTTTGATAAATGTATCAAAGTGCACTTTGAGAATTTGCTCAAAATCCTCGGGTCGAGCCGAGAACAACCAGTCGTTCTTGCCCGGTTGGCGCAGTACGAACGGCGCTCCGTTGCGAGCGACACTGGTCTCGACCAGCCAGTCCTGGAACCGATCGAGGTTGCGAGCCATGAGCAGCGTATGTCCCAGAATCGGGTGTCCACCGGGCAGATACGGGACCGGTTTGACTTTCTCTTCTTCATCGTCCGAGTCGATTGCGTAGCTATTGGAAACGGACAGGAGTGTGGCGCCTGCAGCTGCGACGATCAGCCCAACCACGACCGGATGCGAGAGTATGTTCGAAAGAGATAACATCGCAGTTGACTGCAGGAGGCACGTAGGCGAATGAGCAGTGGCAAAGGCTTCATCGGCTTCGAAGCTTTTGATGGCGCTAGGTCGAGGGAGGAGCAGAATTTGAGGTTCATGGCGTACATGACTGCCCAGGCCTTTCCCGCGTGTGCCACTATCGCGTTCGAGGAAGGATGCAACAATGACAGCAGACGTCCTCTTGAAGTATGACACTTTGGAGGGGATGAAAGTCGAGTGACACTTGGTTTACAGCGACGTGATGGGCGTGCAAGCTCCATTTTGGTTGCTGCAATTAGGACAAGACACCCTGATAAATTGTAAATGTATTACTCTGGAGTATTTATTAATTTAATATCAATGACCTCATCTAACATTTTAATTTTGGTACACCGAAATGGGAGACATCATGCTCATCGTAGCTCGCGTCATTTTCTTTCGCGGCGGCATTAACATGCAATGTGGCAGTCACCAATCGCGAGCGGACAATAGATCACGGGCTTGACGTGAAGACAGCATGGATAGCGCTTTTGTGTCAGCTATGTGTCAGCTAGCTGTTCATCATCCCAAATGTTGAATTCGCTTACACAATACCCCCTACCAGTGATAAAATGTGTCCATTCTAAAGCACTTCAACTTTCGTACAATTTCAGATTGTGAATGTACCGACAAATTGGCCACGGCTTGCGTGAGCAGGGAAAGTCTTGGTGCCTTGAGACGGCAACCATCCATTGCCTGGCTTTCCAGCGGGGCTTCCGCAAATTACTCCATGGCAAGACAGGAGCCTCAACGCGTTGCTCAATACATGTACCCGTGAACGCTTCTTCGCGTGTTGACCGCAACTCGCATGCCACTCCTGGGCATCTGCGATGCTGCCTATTGTCCCGGCCACCAAACCTTGGACGGACTTTGCGCTATAATAAAGGTGTTTTGCCGCTCTAAAACCTATATCGACATTTAGATATATAGGGTAAAAATGGGTGCTGAGTCCGAATCTGACGTCGGATTCTGCAAATTCGAAGCCCTTCCCCTTCATTCTGGCTGCCACTATTTGTTGCAGAATTCTTTGCAATTAATAGCCTGCCACGTACAGCGTTTCTGTCTCTACGATTGGCTTAAGCAGGATAGCAGCCGGAGATTCCCAATCATTTTGGATAAATTTCAATAAATGACGCCCATCGTGTTTCTTACCATCATGGTTAACATGATACAGCTGGTGTTACAATTCCTTAATATAGCATAGATCTGTCATTCGTTCAGCTCGATCTGAGATATTCAAATTGATTCATACCTGCAATATCTTATACATTTGCAGTACGACTACTGCAATGATATTTTTGATATGTAACAGTAACAGCACGGTGGTCACCGGTAGACGATGGACTCGGCCTATAGCTTTCCTCACAGACGCCCGTATTGGCTCAAACCTGGCGCTACATGAAGCTAGCATTCCACTTAGCATACTGGAGAAAGATGAGGAAATTTGCGCTGAGCTTAAGTTATGATAGGTCAAGTATGTAAGGACTTATACCTTACATCTTTTCGCTATAGAGATAATAAATTATGTGAACAACTTCCACTATCCCTCTCTCATGTGAAACCCCTTCAATTCAAGCACACTTTCGTAAGAACAACATCTACGGACCAATAACCCGGCCTCCAAAGCTGCCATTAGAACGTCAAGGTGAAGAACACTCAAGCGTTAAAACGTAACATTAATTCAAACAGCTCCGAAGCCAAC